TTCCGCTTGGTGTCTCCTCCATCGGAGTAGAGCTCGACATCCTCCCCATATCCTCAGAGTTAGCTACTTTCCACCGCGTCTCCTTGAGGCATAAGACTCACATACTCCTGCGCATCATCAGATCAGCCACTTTACAGACTTATGGCTTCATTAACACGACGTATACTCGATATCCGTGAGTTGGGGTAGGCGTGTCACCGGAAGTGACGTGCACTTGATAGAAACTATGTGGATAAGCTGCTTCCAACATACATCGCTGGATATCAGCAAAGCATGCTGGCAACAGCTTATCCACGCAACTTCTATCAAGTGCACGTCACTTCCGGTGACACACCCACCCCAACTTTCGGATATCGACTGTATTTGGCTTAGCCGCTACGTCGTAATTCACGGTACGTCCATGGGATGTGCATGGGACGTCCATGTGTATAACCCGTCCTCAACTCCACTAGTTCACTCTGGAAGGCCCTAGCGACACACTAGTCGCGCATAGCACAGCTGTGATACTCTAGAATTTTGCTATACGCAAAACAACCAGCAAACCTCGACATGAGTCCATTTCACTTCTGCTTCTAAACCCCATATTACGAGATCGCGCATGCAAATAACGGCCGCCGTGCCAGAAAAGCGTTGCGACAGAGCAAAATCTGCGAATACAGGGCCCTAATTTCGAGGTCGCTCTTGCATTTCATAGTCGTCGGTTTCAATCCATAGCTTGTTTGGCCAAGACCGTCTCTTTCTCGATAGCTTCTCATGACCACAGAACCCGGGCAGGGGTTCTGCGCGCCACTTCCTGGTGACTGTCCTATACGATTAAAACAATGATACTCTGTTGCGACTTTCCAAACAGAGAATTGGTGTGATGGGGGGTGTTTATAAGCCGGCCTGAATGCGTCCTAGGCGCTAACACTCGATTTTTTTATGGCAATTTCTGACTAGATTGTGTGACCTGAGGCCTTTCTATCCCCTCTTTCTAATTTGGCTGAGGGTGGTACTAAGTGGAACAATTTTTGAGAGGTGTGCCCAACACGCAGGCCCGCTGTGCGGCAAGGAAACTGAGTTTGCGGACCCGTTCGCAGCGGCCTGCTGTGAGATGCAGGACATGCATGGCGTATTCTTTTAAAATTGACGCCGAAGTCACTAACAAAGGAAGTGATCCAGGACTCGACATGGCCTTTTCAAGTATTGGAATGCACATATTCTCTGAAGTAAACGCTTGGGGACGCTTCCCCCCCCCCCCCCCCCCCCCCCCCCCCCCCCCCCCCCCCCCCCCCCCCCCCCCCCCCCCCCCCCCCCCCCCCCCCCCCCCCCCCCCCTCCCAAATCTGCTAAACGATTCTCTGAACGAAGTTGCGAAATCGTTTATCGGCGGAGAGTGCGTTCATGAGTCACTGGAGCCGCAACGGGGATGTGCTTCGGTGGCGCAGTTGGTAAGCGGATGGACTTGGGGACTCGAGATGGAGGTTCGAATCCTTGATGAGTACGCTAGTTTTGCCTTTTATCCTTTCGGCTCCTAAACTTTTGCAAAACGGTTCTAGACCCCTTTTTGACTAGTAGCACGCCTTTTCGACCGCGAACACGTGCTGAAAACAGGGTCTCCACGGAAAATTCCGTTTCAATGGGAACCGCAAGCATCTTCCGTTTATGTAAAGGAATTGAAGACTTTATTCAATGCGAGTATTACTGAAATCATTTAGAAACGTTTAAAGAACACATGTGATATCCTATTACAAAATGGTTGAAGCAAAAAAACTTTTCACAGTGTGAGCAGCGAATGAAGAGAGGGTCACTGCAGTCATTACTTTCACAAGCTTCTTCCATTTGAGATGAAAAACAGTACTGTACAGGTGTCTCAAATTCGCCCGGGTGTGTCTCAAGGTACCCTGCTGCGTGCCATGAGTAGGAAAGAAAGTTCTTAAATCTAGGTGCCTTAAATAGGAAATAGACCAATGAAACAAGTCTTATTATGGAGTCGCGAGTGCTTAACCGAAAGTTCACATCATGAGCAATAACGTACGAGTTAAAACGCTTAAGCATAGCTTTAAAAGGCAGGAAAAAGTAAACGTCAAGGGGCTGGACATTCCTTGAGCATTGGTGGTTGAAATGAAATTTGTGCTCAAAACCCTGTTTTCAGCACGTGTTCGCGGTCGAAAAGGCGTGCTACTAGTCAAAAAGGGGTCTAGAACCGTTTTGCAAAAGTTTAGGAGCCGAAAGGATAAAAGGCAAAACTAGCGTACTCATCAAGGATTCGAACCTCCATCTCGAGTCCCCAAGTCCATCCGCTTACCAACTGCGCCACCGAAGCACATCCCCGTTGCGGCTCCAGTGACTCATGAACGCACTCTCCGCCGATAAACGATTTCGCAACTTCGTTCAGAGAATCGTTTAGCAGATTTGGAGGGCAGATTCGAATTCAGCGTCCCAAGATTGGTACAGAAATATGCATCCCATCCTGAAAGGCCATGTCGAGGTGGGATCCTTTCCTTGTAAGTACGCCGCTACTGCGCCCTGATCGCCTTCTTGCGCCGCGCCGACCGAAGCCTCCGTCGGCGCATAGCTGGCCAATTTTAAACGACAAATGCCAGGCGTAGGCTATACCCGGCCAAGGAATCAAAACTCGAGAACTTTTTAGTGCAGACAGGTGTTTATACGTATGAAGTGTTATGTCATATTGTCTCAACCAACTGTTCAACAAGGGCTCAAAGGCTGAATGACCAGTGTTCTGAAAGGCAACATCCCGTTCAATTCGAAATGTGTCACAGGGATCGATAAATCATGGGTTCCGAGCTTTGAAATTTGTTGAGAAAAAGAGCCTTCAAACAAGGAGTTCCACACTTTTTCCTTGAAAAGGCGTGGAGAGCAGGTCAGGACGAATTGTTTGAACGTGCGTGCTTTATGGCTTCTCTAACACGCACGTATTTGGCTTACAAGGGAAGGATGGTAGGTCGAAGTGGCCGTTAAAATGAAATGTATACCTCCTGATGCGTCTCCAGACGCTGATTCCAAATCTGCCTTCCAAATCTGCTAAACGGCTCTCCGAACGGAGTTATGAAGCGTAATAGCTCAGTGGTGATGGTCCGGGGTGGCAGGTAAAAGCTCGTAGGATCGGTTCCTTTGCAAGTTTGTTGCTTTGCTTTTGTCCGCAACACTTCTAGAGACAAAAGCAAAGCAACCAACTTGCAAAGGAACCGATCCTACGAGCTTTTACCTGCCACCCCGGACCATCACCACTGAGCTATTACGCTTCATAACTCCGTTCGGAGAGTCGTTTAGCAGATTTGGAAGGCAGATTTGGAATCAGCGTCTGGAGACGCATCAGGAGGTATACATTTCATTTCGAACGGCCACTTCGACCTACCATCCTTCCCTTGTTAGCCGGCCTTGTCATTCACGTTATCCGAATGGGATTGCATGGGACGTCATAGGTGTATAGACTCTTCCTCAACTCTCCTCTACCGTCACTTAGTTCATGTCGGGACCAGTGCCAACCGTCCGATCTCGAACTGTTCAAAACGGGGGGGGGGGGCGGGGAACATTGCATTTAGTATTGCGCAGTTCTGCTGTTACTTATGGTCATTCAGGTGAGGGCTATAAGGTGTGTTGTGGGATTAAAAAGTTGCTGATTCATCTGCTTATTAATACCCCGCCCGCGCCCCCCCCCCCCGCCTCGAGGCTATTTTTTGGGGGAAAGTGGGTGGAGTTTCGGAGTTTTGGGTCTGCGTCAACTATTGCTCAGTCAGAATGATATAACTAATCGAAAGAGTTGTCGCGGTGGGGTGAGGCTTGGTTCTATTTGTTGGGGGTGGCGTCGAGATCGCAACTTTATCCCCCTCGAAGAGTGGGACGCACAAAATCCGAAGGTGTTCGAACCGTGACGGTTGACTCCCTGCTCTGAAACCCTAACGAATATTAGTCGCGCATTCGAGCCTACGATAAGCACGAGATTTTGCTCACGCAAAAACAAACTCAGAAACCGTCGAAAATGATGTACATTTTTATCTTCTGCTTCTAAAAACCCCATATTACGAGATCACGCATGCAAATAACGGCGGCCGTGCTCAGAAAAGCTAGACAGAGCAGGATCTGCGCTGTCGCCGAGGTCTCAAATATCAAAAAGCATTTGAGAAAATGTTTATACGCATCAAAAATTGTACTTTATTAATCATCAGCAAGAAAAGAACCACCATTTCCTCAGAGATGGCTCGATCGATTCCGGGTCTTGTTCGTCTGTCGAGAACCACCGCCGGCCATCCAGTACTTTGGGCAAATGCCTTTCTCGCCTCTCCGACCACGGGGCCCTGGCGGACCTGGAAGTCCAGGTTCTCCGGGCATGCCTGGCAGGCCATCTTCACCAGGAGGTCCTTTGGGGCCTGCATCTCCTGAAATATTGTATTATTCGATTGGTTTGATATTCAAGAGTCCCTGCTATGGCATGCGAAAACTTGATTCCTCAAATAGTAAATATAAGTAGAACATATTCAAGAAACTTCTTTGTCCACCCTAGTCCTGGAGCAGATTGTTTGAGCAGTTTTTAGCATTACTAGTTCCACGTGAGCGCCAGCATAATGATAGGAGCGCAGACATTACTCTTATAACAGATACACAGCCAGGCTTCTGGCCGATCGATTCCTTAGACCTGATTGAAGTGGCGCACATTTGACGTTACGTCTGACCGCACGAGTTTGCCAGTCAACGTATCAACCTTCCCATGGGCCGAAGTGGCGTAGTGGCAAGTAGGCAGGGGGGGCACGCTTACCACGCGTGCGGTCCGGGATCAAATCCTGGGTGGTGAGTCGCCCAGGCCAAGCCTTCCATCCTTCCGGGGACGGTTATTTGACCATTTTTTCATTTATGAGGCGTTGCCATCAAGCTGTCGACGATTATCTTCATCACTGACACTGGTATTAGTTGGTGCCGGGTTCCCAGCGCAAAGGCCCTCTCGTATTCCGCCAACGACTCAGGAAGTTCAGAATTCAGAGGGAGTTGGGTTTTTGCTGTCAGAACTCCCGAATCGTTTAAGCTAAGCTACTGCGGCTTGTGGATTTGTTAGCACACTGCACCCAGTCCACATCACCAATGAGTATATAGATGGTCATCCGAAGGAACTATGGGAAACCAATAGGAACATGATGATGTCAGATCGGGTTTGGCTGCTTGAACTCTGTGCTCAAGTTTAGTTCATTCGACTCGCTGAGCTGTCTCGCCAAACAGCAACTCATAAATACACTGAACTCACACAGTCAAACGTTTGCCGCATTGTGATGGGCTCAGCCACCCAGGTTCCTACTCGCTCCAAAGCTTAGTATCAGAGCTCTAGCCTTCCTCTTTCAAATCTTGAGCAGAGCCACGTGCCGTTTTCTGGAGCCGCCTTCATAGTTTGCAACTTGGCAGATCAACCGACAACGGCAACCCTTCACTTCACATGGTTCGCAATCACGTCCACAGACACGCTCTTTCTGCCTACGAATAATGGACTGTCAATGCATCAAATATGTTCCATTTTCAGTCCTAATCTACAATCACCAAAACCCTACTGGAAAGGCATGCTCAAATCTATGGGTATTTGAAGATGCAGTGGAGAAGCTACAAAATTCGTTTAATCGACCGTTATACTCAGTTTTAGTCTGTTAATTAACATCGTTCTTCGCAATAAATCTGCTTTTTAAACCCTCTCAGACTCTCAAACTGAAAGAACTATGTTGGCTTTAACCAGTCCGCTCCCAACTTCTCAGATCTTGTTTCGATTTGAAAGACAGCTGGATGAACGTGGAGCATATGCAATCGTTTTGGAATTTTTATGCCTATTCACAGCCAGGGCGGAAGTGGTGTAGTGGCAAGTGGCGCGCTTACCACGCGAGCGGTCCGGGGATCAAATCCTGGTCGTGAGTCGCCCGGGCCAACCAAGCCTTCCATCCCTCCGGGGTCGGTTAATTGGTACCAGACTTGTCTGGGAGGATAAAAACACTGACTTGTACATCGGCTGGCCCCCGCAAGTCATTGTATAGGCCACATCGCATTCAAACGCCACTGCGAATGTACAAATGGAAGTAGAATGCGTGCCGCATCCCAAAAAGGGATTGATCAACGGCAAATGCTTTATCCTTTATTATACCAAGACAAATTCAATAGTGCTTCTGTTAATCGGTAAGTACATTATCTCTGAATGAAGAAAAGCCTTAAAGGGAAGCGATTACATATCAATTGTTTGCTCGAAGGAGAACCTGCCAACGGAGCAATTACTTGGCTGCCAAGGAAGCGATGTGGCCCTCCCACGGCGAAAGGTGCTGTGGTTGCTGAGCAGGACCCGCGTGACGCCCCGCCCCCAGTGACGTAACGCCCACTAGTTTTGTTGATGATCTGGATGGACTGTTTGCTGTTGGCTTTTCATTTTGGATGATCATTTCCCTTCTAGCGGCTGTATCTTCCAACTTGCCCACGTATTGCCTTATCAATCAAAACACTATGCTTGTTGGCATGATGGCGGCTATCGTGGGCATTAAGAAAGGCATCACGCTTGGTCCACCTGTTGATGCTACCCTCGCGTTATCAATCGATAAGGTGTGAGGCAGTAATTGTTGGACGAGTGTAAGCCCATGGAAGATATGATACGATGAGATAAGAAGGTGCGGCTGCTTGATAAGAGGTGCACTCCAGAATGAAAACGGGACGATAACGATAACGGTATCATATCTAGCACGCTCTTATCGCACCCCTTTCCACATCGATAAGTCTTGGTTTTTGCTGAACGGAAGTGGATTTCGGCGCCTTATCACTCCGTTGATAAGGCGCCACTGCCACTGAAACTTCACGTGTTGTAACACTGGGCAGGACCTCTATCCACTCCAATACATAGCTTCCCTTATCGTTCCCATGAAAATTATCGTGACCACTTCCTTTAAATAATTATTGTATCACACGCTATTGCACTTTTTCAAGTATGAGAGCGATAGTAGAATGAATTTGAGGACCTACACTACTAATGATTTCGCATACGATAGACCCCACATGTTGAAAACCCCATCGTGGGGCTATAAACATATGCGTGAGGCTTGGAGCAATTACTGGGGTTCCTGAGATCGCACAAACTTATGCTGTTCACTGCTCCAATCTATACAGTTGCTTCCGTAAAGCAATGCCACATCAGCAAAGTACTTAACCCATAACGGACGGCGTGCGCCACATGGTGGCGCACGACTATTTTTTTGTTTTTGGAATGTTTCTAGCAATCTTAATATACCCATATATACTCTCAGCAATGTGGAATAACATATCTTCCCAGGACCTGGACGGCTGGATTTTGACAAACCTACAATAAATTTTACATACATTTTGTCTTAATTTACATAAGTTTACTATTTGATGGGTGGCTTACCCATGGTTCGCACGTCCCGAGACCCCTTCCCCTAAATATAGCCACATCCTTGCTCGGGGTTGTTGTTTCGCATTTTTCGATAATGTCACCTACAGCTTCCATTCATTCTTTGCACCCTAGTTTTAGAGCGGAAAGGCGGGCTACGAACTTGTCGTCAACGGAAATCTCTTTTTTCGGATGATGAGACTCCGACACCTACTTTAGCCCCGTCTTACCCCTGCTGTTCACATAAGCCTACATAAACCCTACCCTGGGTGGCGGCGTGCGCCACATGGTGGCGCACCCGCCACCCAGCGTAGGGTTTATGTAGGCTCCGTTATGGGTTAAGCATGAGACCCAGTCTATAAACATTTTTCGCTCATGCTCTGCTGTTTGCGTGTGTGCCCACACCTTGAGAGATACTTCTGAACTTATTGGTAACAGTGCTCTACGCTTGAACATAAATATTGATGTTGACCATCAAATTAATCCTTACCTATGTTTCCATCTACACCCGGTCGTCCAGGAGGTCCTCGCGGTCCTTGAGGACCAGGCTCACCTATGGGACCTGGTTCACCATATTCTATTTGTCCCAGCTCGCAGGATGCACCTAAAGTATGGGCAATCACACTTGAAGTTCCTTCTTGTGTGGCAAGAATCTCACCTGCCAATCCAGGAATCCCAGGCACCCCTGGCATTCCAGGAGAGCCAACTGGTCCTTGACGACCTTTAAGACCAGGTTTTCCAGGTATACCTGCCCTTCCTTGCTTTCCAGGAGAACCAGGCTCTCCTGGTTGCCCAGGCTTTCCCTGAATATAAGAAGCTGCTAATGAGGTGAAGCCTTCGCCAACTATATTCATACTAACCTTCTCTCCTGGTGGTCCTGAGCTGCATTTTATGCAGAAGTCTGAGGTTACATAGAGAAAAGGTGCCATCAGAACACGACCAGGATTGCCATTTACGCCATTAATGCCAGGCTTTCCCGGACGTCCCGGCCTACCTGCTGGGCCAGGTCGACCAGGAGGCCCTGGTAGACAACAACTATCATCACATTGCATGCTTTTGGATGTATAACCAGCAACTTCTTCAGTACTTGAATTACGTGGGATTCGAACGCCTAAATCGGAAGCGATAACGTCATTGCAATAAATTTGGAGAAGAGGAGCGGAAACTCACGCATTGAAAGCGCCTTCAGCTCAACGACATTTTTCAACACATCTTGCGCCGTTGTTCTACATGTGGAAAATTCATACATCAAATTATTCTGCACTTGAGCGGCATAAATGTAAATCAGTGGTAAACTAATACAGGCTGACAAAGCAGTGCATAACGAGGTAATAGTAATAGAAACTGCTAGAACACGATAGGCACCAAGCCGCTGATCAAATAGCATGCGAGACGGTCTGAAAAGCGGCTTCATGATAAATGAGTTGAAATCGACTGACAAATACGATATCCAAGAATTCTACGTATAAACTAGCAGGGATATTATGCAAGGATTGCTCCCAACGTTTTAGCGAAAGTCCGATTGGAGAGAGTGTTACCGGACTCGCTTAGAACATGGTTCTATAGAATCTGTTTTCATAACATTATCTCTACTTCAAGTAATGCAGTAGATACAGATCAAGGCTGGGAAAAGCCCAGGCAGCGACAGGAGTTACACGCTCTCCTCAAAGCACCAGCAGATTGTTTTCAGGTTTGAAGTTAAACAAGGGTTCTTGGAGGGTGGGAGAAATCAAATTGATGAAAGAAGCGAGAATCGTGAGGGAATCAGAAATCAAACAAGAATGATCCCAACTGGCATATTCGGGAACTTGAATCGGATTAAAAGCCGAGAATAAGCCTTCACAAAGTCATTACTTCGCAATCGACTCCTTTACATGTCGTACGTCACCTTATCAGGAAATTTGCAGAGTTTCAATTCATAGATTAGATAAAATAATGTAAGTAAAGTTACAAACGTTGAACATAATAAAGTAATTCAAAAATAGAGTAAAACATGAAATAATATATTGTAAAATGAATCCCTTAGACCATCTGGATCTACCATCTCGAAAGGCTTGAAATGAGATGGGCAGATCAGACCCTGAAATGGAGACGACGGCACAGAACCGAAAAAGATGCTCAAAGCCGACTTGTGTGAAGAACGAAAGTTGCGAATATAAATGGGATACATGCGATCCTACTATATATAATCGGCTAAGCGGTTGTGTGTGTGTCTGACCGGAAATTCATAACTTCACCCCCTTTGGACCCAGAGCGCTCAAACTTCTAGGATATATAGGGGGCCGGAGGTGAACACTGATGACGGGTGGCGGGAAGTGATAACTACTGATAGGAGCTGATAACGGACGTCGAAATGTTGATGTCACCAATTTCGTTGCACCGTTCGCGTTGACAGTGGAGAGTTTGCACTTATGTATGATATGTGGGATGAGGCGGGGACCAAGAAGTTGAGTGAACGAATGTGTGGTAGCAACTGATAAGAACTGGTACGGTGATACAGGTGATATTTGCAGAATGCTTGCAGTTTCAAGAAAGTTGCTTGATGATTGCTCCATCATGCTTTTTCCAATCATTAAAAGAGTACTGGAAGAGTCACTGTGCAAGGGGCATAACACGCGAGCACTGGCGTCGTGGATGGTAAAGAGATTTTCAAGTTGAACCTTCACAGTTGAAAGGTTATAAATATTTTCATTAGTGGCACAATCAATTTACTGTGTTTCATTGACCAGTTCACCGCTTTGAACTCAAGAAAACCAACTATGGATATGTGTTATATGCCAGCTCCGCACTTGCTCTGCATCAGAAAGCCACTAAAAACCTCTAGCACCAGGTCAGAAGCGAGTGAGCCAATGAGTCCTTGAGGCAATCAAGTAACGAAGCCGGACCAAGACTGCACCACACAAGATGGAGAGGTTGTGAAATGAGGGCTGTCTTCTTGTTTTCCGCTAGCAGTGACCAGTCTCTGCTCGGCTTGAAATGTCAGCGCCAGGGCAAAAAACTTTTATGCATGCGAAGAAGAAAGATATCAATGCCAACATCTACCGAAAAAAGCGTAAAGCTTGCCTTGTTTTATAACTCATTTCGGAGAATACAGATAGAATGTTCAACAGAACAGCGTCCCAATTGTAGCAAGATTTGCTTGCAACCGATGCTATACCGCTATTCCTGATCTCTCTGGCTTAATGGGCTACATGTCCCGATCTTGATGGAATCCTTCGCCGAAAACTCTTGCATCCTCTCCCACCATGTTGATGTCAGTGTGTTTACTTGAGACAAGATCAGGGTCAACCCTACGTTGTTACGAGTAACAACGGGGGGTCGTACTCAGTTGAGCTTGGAGGGGGGTCGTACCCTCTCGGTGGCCGACAGTGGGATTCTTGGTAATATCGGATAATAGCCAGCACGTTACGTTTTCGTAAGATGACTGATACTAGAGCATCTATAAACCACGCTTCCCTCTAAATGAGCTTTCAAATGAATCAGCGAATTAGAAGGGCGCCCGAGGCGTGGCGCGCACCAAGGCAAGGGATGTAGTGCAAGCGCATGCTCGGAGCTTTCTAGCACATCCTAAATTAAACATGAAATTGGTCTTCCAAGAAGTTACGGGCAGTGAAACCTAAGAAAACTCGCGTTTTCGAGAAAATGGCTTGAAGAATACCCCTCAAAATAAAAAGTAACAACGGGACTAATTTTTGAAACTGCTGATCTTTCAGGAACGCTTGGGTGCTCGTTAGAAAGCTTGAAACCTGTAGTTTATTATACCGTGTTCAGCTTCCCAAATGAATGACTTTGAAGGAAGTTATGATCGTTTGAAGGTAAAAAAGTCGCGGTTCCAACTAATTTTTGAACTACTGATCTTTCAAGAACGCTTTGGTGCTCGTTAGAAAGCTTGAATCCTGTAGTTTATTATGCATGTTAGCTTCCCAAATGAACGACGTTTAAGGAAGTTATGATCGTGTAAAGGTCAAAAAGTCGC